GAGCTCACACCCCAGACTCAGTACCCCTTCCCCCCGGCTCACTTTCTAAAGGCACACTGGTCTCCTGCCGGCTCCTTGCGCCCCCAGCTATTATGTCCATGTTGTTGCTTTTACCCACGCTTGCCCGTTGGTTCTCAAGTTAACCTCTTCAAAGTAACTTCCTGTGGCAGACAATATTTCTCCCTATGTATGTGCATGTTCTACAAATCTACCCGTCTTTACAGCATAGCATACAGGGGCTAATGGTTCCAAAATGTCTTAGTCATAACCAAACACCTTGAGGGAATGAGCTGCTGGGCTTGGGAACTTAGACACAGTCTGGGCGACACCTAGGTCAACTGGCCTAACAAATCCCACAAAGACAAGGTTCTATATCCTACTTGGGTGAGCAGTGACCAACGGCCAAATGCTGGTGAGCAACCATCTAAGATACAACTATTGGTTTCTCCCCATCTGGAGCAAAGATGACTAAAAAAAAAAAACACCAACAATTCAGGGAAAAACACTAGTCGGAAGTTCTAACAGTCCACATAAACCACAGCTTCCAGAACCCTACAAGTGGAACCAGAAGCTATCCAGCTACCAGTAGCTACCAGTCTGACCAAGAGTGAAGGTCCTGAAGAGAGAGGACAAAAAGCAATGTTGAACAAAGTTCAAGATCATAAATAAGACCAGATTGACTGTCTGATAGAGACTAGAGGAACCTTGGAGACTGACCCTTAGACAGACACGCCTCAAGCCTGGAACTGAACCAGCCCTGAGAGATCAACTCTCAGTCAGACAACAGCCTGGTCTCTATCAAGTGAGTAAATACCACCAGGGAGGAGGGAACTCTTCAGAAAAATCAACCACATGAGACCCAAAGAGCAGCGTTTGCCCAAAAACAACTTTCAGAAGGCAAGATGGGGCCACCAAGGAGGGCAAATGGAAGCCCCAAGAAGAAGTGTTGGGAAGAGTGCTGTAACATTGAAGGAATTTCAACCAATGTCATGAAACAAAAGGTGGAAACTAATTTGCTCTGCAAACTTTTCCCAAACTATAGTAAAAAGTAAAATTGAAATCTGAGCATGATAGTGGGACAGAAGGAAAGTAAAAGGAAATAGAGGAAAGAACTAAGAAGCAAACGACATTTATAGCAGTATACATACAGGCACATACAGGGATATAGGTCTATGTACATATATGTTAAGTATTAAGGTAGCAGACAGACATTGGGCGTATACTCAAGTACTCCCTCAATGCAAGAACACTTTTTTATAATAACCAGGCATTCCATGATGCTCAGGAAAGAAAGCTGATGGTGCCCAGCTATTAAAAGATTTAGTATCTGAGGTCTTATAGGCTTGAAGATAAACAAGTAGCCATCTAGCTGGGAAGCAACAAAGCCCACATGGAAGAAGCACACCAGCCTGTGTGATCACAAGGTGTCAACAGAATCAGGTATCCAGTATCATAAAACCAAAAATAAACATTTATATCAATGCAAATGAGGAAGGCCAGAGTGGAGACCCAGAGCCTATCTGTAGACAGTTGGACACCTCCTCACAGAAGGGTCACAAGGAAGAGATGAGCCAGCCAGGGTGCAGTAGAGCACTGATAAAACATACAGCATTCCTCTGGTTCTTCAATGCTCTCTCCACCCCACCCCCACTATCATGACCCCAGTTCTACTTTACAAATCTGGTGAGACCGGAGCTTGTACACTGGTACAGATAAGAGCTCTTGACACACACACAGGATCTAGGGCAGATAAAGCCCTCAGGAACAGGAATAGGAGGAGTGATACCATGAGGGTAGGGGGAAGGTGGGGGAGAAAGGGGGAACCGAGTGCAATGATTGACATATAACCTCCCCACCCCTACCCCCAGGGTGATGAACAACGGAAACATGGGTTAGGGAGACAGTGGATGGTGTATGATATGAAAATAATAATTTATAATTTATCAAGGGTTCATGTGGGGGTGGTGGTGAAGAGTTGTTGATAGCAAGGGCTCAAGTATAAAGAAAAGGTTTTAAAAAGGATGATGGCAACATATGCACAAATGTGCTTGATACAATGTATGGATTGTTATAAAAGGTATGAGTCTCCAATAAAATGATTAATTTTTAAAAAATTAAAATAAAATAAAATCACTTCCCTAAGCCCTCAATCTGAAGTATGCCACTTACAGTGCTTTCTCGGAGCATCAAGTTCACTCCTATCATAGCCCTTAACACACATTATAATGATTCATCCTTTTGTGTTCACTTGTCTCGTGCCTTTGCCCGTGATACTGAAGAAACTACAAGAGGAAAGGAATGTGTTTGCTCTGTTTACCACACCCTTGAAAGGTACCTGGCACACAGTAGGTCCTCAGCAAAGGTATTAAGTGAAGCAGGGCTGGAAGGGCTGGATAGGCCTGTCCCTTTAGAAGCCAAGCCCTCATCTGAAGGCAGCTCTAGTTCCAGCCTGCTCCATGAGCCCAGGCAAGACTCCTCTCTCAGACTGTATTCTCAGCATCCAAATGAGGGTCTAGAAGAGGGGACCTCAAAAGACCTTCCCACTTATCTACCTTAAGACCACAAAGTCCAAGATGACCTGTTATACCAAAGGTTTCAAGGCTTCAGACTTCTTGCCTCTCGGCCACCCTATGCCTCCTTAGTGCCTGAGAAAAGGGAGTAGGGAACAGAGCAAGGCTCCCCAGGCTTTCATACCCTGTACTAGAAAGAGAACCAAAAAGCATTTGGTTCATTTCTCACTGTAATAGCTCATCTCCTTGGGGGAACTGCTTCAATTTCCTTCTTCAGAGCCTTGACACCTGGGCCTCCAACTATTGGGTTCTCAGCCCACTAGGGACACTAGTTCCACCCAACTCTGCCCTTGTCCTGCACATAGCTGCCTCCCCTGCCAGGCTAGCGTTCGAGGAAGGCGAGGCTGTCTGTGTTTTGCTCATCTTTATAGTCTCGCATTTAGCGCAGACGACACACATGACGTGACCAAGGTACGGGCACCAAATCAAATGTTGCTGGAAGGGCCTGCCAGGATCTTCTGCTGAGGGTACCATTTGCCCCTGGGGCCCTCCAGGTCAGGAGAAGCACCTGAGAGAATGTGGCTCCCCATTCTGAAGCTGACTTCAGCTGACCACCTCGAGGACTGGGCACTCTGGCTCCCTCTCACCTGGGGAGGCCCCAAGTGGCTAGGGGCAGCTGGTCTTAGGCAGAAGCCTCAGAAGTCACCACCCTATGTGGACTCTGCTGTGCTCACTCCCAACCCAGCCAGCAGCTGACAACGAGCCAGCCAGGCGAGACACCCTGAACCTGAAGCAACCGCCACCTCCAATTCTCCTGCTGAGTAAGACTCCCCGGGCTTGGAAGGAGGCACCTTCTGTTTTGTCTTTAAAAGAAAACAAGAGAATGAATACTAACCCAAGAGTCCCATAAAGCGAAAGGCCTCCTGTTTTACCTCTTCGATAAAGTGGAGTTTTGTATCCAGATTTTGACTCACTTAGGTATGTGAAGGGATGAAGCTGGGTGTGCAAGTGAGCATGTAAGTGTGCAAATGTGCTCATAGGAGAGAACACGATCAGGCGGGCAGGCTCAACCTGGACTGGCGATTTCACTGTGACTGTGCATCTTTGGACAACCCACTTAAACTCCTCATCTGAGAACCGAGAGTAATCATTAATTCCTCTTTCACACATGGTTGTGATGATCAAACCTTAGGAGAGGGGTTATGTAATTACTAAACTGAACAGCCAGTTGCCCTCGGGTCGACTGACTCACAGAGACCATACTGGTGTCAGAGCAGAACTGGGCTACCCAGGGTTCCCAGTGGCTGCTTTTTCAGAAGAGATCGCCTGTCCTTTCTCCGGAGCTGCCTCTGGGTAAACTCCAACCACCAACTTCTCACTTAAGCAGTAAAACACCATCTAAATATTCACAGTTGTTAGAAATGGAATGGGAAAAGATAAACTCAGAAAATCTGCGTTTCTCTCCAAATAATAGTGATTTTCAGATCTCAGCATTTAGTCCCAGCTACATTCTCGATATTAATCTGCTGTACAGGACCTCTTTAAAGTGCTGAAAAACAAGGAGGCTACTTTGAGGACTAGGATGCGCCTGACCCAACCCATGATATTTTCAGTAACCTCCTATGCATGTGAAAATTGGGCACGGAATAAGGAAGACTGAAGAAGAATTGATGTGTTTGAATGATGGTGCTGGCGAAAAATATTAAAGCACCAGGGCTGCCAAAGAACAAACAGATCTGTCTTGGAAGAAGTACAGTCAGGATGCTCCTTAGAAGCAAGGATGGCAAGACTTTGTCTCACGAACTGTGGCCATGTTGTACAGGACAGCATGCTTGGCAAAGTAGAGGGACAGCAAAAAGGAGGAAGCCCTCACCTGGGTGGGCTGACTCAGTGGCAGCAGCAATGGGCTCAGGCATTAGAACAACTGTGAGGCTGGCACAGGGCGAGGCAGTGTTTGTTCTGTTGTGCAGAGGGTCGCTGGAGTCAGAACTGACTGGATGGCACCAAACAACAATATCCTAGATCCAGTAAATCTGAAACTCAGCTCCCTGGAACCTTTGTAACAGGTTCGTGTAACTGGTTTCTCAAAACAAGCCCACTGTCAGTACGATTATTTCACATACAATTCCAATTCTGAGCTTCAGGGAAATACGAGTCCTAGGAATCACGGAGAACTCTATGTGGGACTCAGAGAAGAAAGGCATCGGCCAAGTCTTAGTCCTCAGCCTGGGAATAGCTTTAGGCAAAAAGTTGTCAGATTAGTAAAAAATCTTTTTCTTTGCCATGACTGTCAGTCAGGTTATACTGAAGACATAACCTCAACAGTTCTAGCCCCTGCCTCTTTATTTTCAGAGAAATGACTATTTGCAGAGTTATCCATAAAAATGATGTTTTGGCTCGTTTTTAAAACTTCCCACTAGTCTTATGAGACAAGTGAGAGCTGCACAGAGAAAAGTAAAACCTAGGTTCCGTCTCACCCCCCCCCATTACCTTCCCAGCTCCTCCTCAATGTCATAAAAGTCCTCCACCTTCTGCTGCTTGAATGCCTCCATGTTGGGCTCTTCATTGGAGTCTACTCACCTGAAATAAGATGACACATGAGGTCAGGGCAGCCAGGAAAATGAGTACAACTGTAGGGTAGTGTTTCTCACAATGGGATGATGCAGAGGGGCTACATAAGCAATACCCACACTTTATCCTGATTTATGGGCTATAGGACAAACGTTTTTCATTGCCAAGGAAGAGCTGAGTAATTTTTTTTTTTTTCTGAAAAGGGTGTGGTGGGCCAAATAAGTGTGGGGACCTATGGTCTAAAGCAGCGGTTCTCAACCTGTGGGTCGTGACCCCTCTGGGGTTCAAACGACCCTTTCACAGGGGTAACCCAATTCATAACAGTAGCAAAATGACAGTTATGAAGTAGCAACAAAAATAATTTTGTGATTGGGGGGGGTCACCACAACATGAGGAACTGTATGAAAGGGTCGCGGCATTAGGAAGGTTTAGGTCTAGAGTTTAAAAGGAATGGATTGCAGGAGAGTTAAATATATTTATATACATATACACACACACATACATGGAATTTTTATTGTAGTCATTTACCAAATAACTTTCATTGTGGTAATATATACATAAAGCAACCATTTGCCGTGTCAACTTTTTTAGGAACCATTTCCAAATGTATACATCACCCTTTCCAGAGATTCAGTAGTCCTTTGGCTAACTTCCCTCCCTCCTCCCACCCATCCATCTTTGCTCTTTATGCATTTGCCTGTTCTAGATGTTTTATATAAGTGAGATCATATAATAGTTGTCTTTTTAACCAATTTGCTCTGTAAACTTGCACCTATACTACCATTTTATCCTTTTTGTCCTTTAAATGTTTTTATGTATTTCACTCAGCACCACGTGTTCAAGGGTTAGCCATAGTGTAGCATCATGCCAGCACTTCATTCCTCTTCGTGACTGAAATAATATTCCATGGTATAGAAATACCACGTCTTGTTTAATCAGTCATCGTTGATGGACACTTAGGGAGTTTCCACCACTTTGGCTTTTGTAAGAGAAACTGACAATTCACTGGTACCCACAGTCTTGGCACCTTGAGGCCTACCCTGCTCAAGCGTCTCACCTGAGCCTAGTTTTCACTTGATTTATATTCACTTAAATTTATTAAGGAGAGCAGGGGGAAGGGCCTCCTCACATCTTGAGCTCTTCTCTAACAAAGCTCTGAAAAACGGGTAAACTTCCGCATTTTGTTCTCATTAAATTCAGACTGACTGAGGAGAGAGGCAGCTGTGATGATCAAGGCCGTAGAAAGAGCACTCGTTTTGAGTCAGATGTAGTGTGTTCAAATCCCAGGTCTGCTGGGACAAGTCATTTAAGCCTCAAAAACTTCAGCTTCCTTATCTGTAAAATGGGGCAAATACTATAATGACCATCTGCAACTCATGAGAGTCTTGTCAACTACAGCACGCCTAGAAGGGGAAGGGATTATCATGACCTCAGCGCTCAGGGCCTGTGTCGCCCGACTGCAAGTCTGAACACATCTGTAAGCCCTCTCACTCACCAACCCCAGGGAAATAGATGTGGGAGTGGCGTGGCAAATTACAACAGGCACCTGGAGTAAGAAATGGGGTCCCAGTTCCAGTTTTGCCCACACCTAGCTCGGTGACCTCATCTTTTGTCAGAGAGGCCTCCGTTTCCTCAGCTGAAAAATGGAGTGGATGCTGCCTGCCCAGAGTACCTTAAGCAAACAAAGAAAGCACAGCTCTAAGCCATGGGGTGTGCCCCCTAGTTCACCAAAAGAAACTGTTTGCATCCTCCCGAGGGCCTCACCCCCACCCCATGTTGCTCACCCATGCCTGGGAGAGAGCCACGCGCCACCCTAGCCAGCACCCTGAGGCCCAGCAAACACAAATAAAACCCGCTGCTGCGGATGCATCTTTCAAGAGTCCTCAGCCAAGCCTTCGCAGAGACCATTTCAGCCGGCATTGGCAGCTTTTCTTCTGCCTGCCAATCAGATACCAACCACACCCAGGCCCCTCTAACCCAAAAGGCTGTTTTCCCCAGGCTGGGTGGAGACACCATTAAATAAGGGCGCGTCCCATCCCCTATCACCAAGTGACTGGCGCCGTTCTAGCTCTCAAGAGATGTATACATTTCACCCTCTTTCCACCATCCCTACCCTCCGCAACCAGAGCCCTGTTACCTGGACGCCACCTACCTGCCTCCTTCTGTCCCACTGAGGCACACACATTCCTGGAGGCTGCAGACAGAGAGCCAGTGTCTCCCATGCCAATGGCATCCATGGCGTATTCCACATCCTCCTCTCTGTTCAGTCTCCACTAGGTGCCTGGCCAGGTCTCAGACTAGCCTGGGTGTGTGTTGGCAGTGTGTCTCCTGTCTCCCCACCCCACCCCCTTGAGTTACCACCCTCCCTGGGCCTCAATCCTTTCACCTACAAACTGTGGTGATAACACCTATACCACCGACTTCTCAGGATTCCTCTCAGGATTGGCCGTAATGAGGGTGTTATCTCTTTAAAAACCATAAACACGGCACAAATAAGGATGATTACTATTACTGTTATGATTTAACGTATCCAAAGCCCCAGTCTGCATTTCTGCTTCCCACTGCTGTTGAGACACCAGTTTGGTTCCATTCTGAGGAAAAGGTATCAAGGGCCCCCTGGCAAGTTTGGCTTGACAAGAATTCTGGCAAACTTCCTACAACTAGCCTGAGGAAGCTGACGCTGCTATCTACCTGCTTTCTTCTCTTTACAGGGGAGGAAGAAACCTCCTTCCAAATCACCCATTTGGATCAGCCACTGGGGCACGAGGTTACTGATTTCACATAGTTAGGTAGAAGCAGAGACACCAAATACTGCTACTAGCAGATACCTCAAGAGTGGTCCTGGGAACAGCTAAGAGCCTCTACTTCAGCGGTTCTCAACCTGTGGGTTGCGACCTTTGGGGGTTGAATGACCCTTTCTTTTCTTTTCTTTTCTGAATGACCCTTTCAAAGGGGTCAGCCGATTCATAATTACATAGTAGCAAAATTACAGTTATGAAGTAGCAATGAAAATAATTTTATGGCTGAGGGGTCACCACAACATGAGGAACTGTATGAAAGGGTGGCAGCATGAGGAAGGTTGAGAACCACTGCTCTACTTGTTGAGATGCCCTTGCCATCAGGAGCTGAGCTGATTGGAAGCAGTCCCAGTTCTCCAGCAAAGGATCAAGCACTGCCTTGGGCTCCGCTCCTGGGAGCTTGGAGGGAAGGAATTGGAGAGCCGGTGAAAGATAAATTAGGCCCACCAGTTGGGCTCCAACTTGCCTTTCCAGCCTTAGCACCCACCACATATCCTAGGTTACAGTAAAGAAAACCTTTCCCGTGCCTCACAAATGTTCACCCCTGGGCTCTTTCTACTGGAGACCCACTGGAAGGACTCTTCTGGCAAAACCATCCCCCTTTCTGTAAGACCCAGCTCAGATACCACCATCTCCATGTGGCTCCCCAGCCCAAGACCAGAGGCAAATTCTCAGAGTGCTGTGCATACATTTCCAGGGTCCTGATCACATTCTCAACCCATTCTTGTTCACATCATCATCTGTGTCCATGTCTGAGCCAGAGTGAGGGGGATCAGGCTGTAGTCACATAGACTTGGGTTCGAATCCCAGCCTTGTCACTTATTAGCACATGCTGAGCACAGAAAAATTCTGAGCTTCAATTCCTTACATAGAAAATTAGGTTAGACAAGCCCAGTGTTGGTGAGAAAGAAGCATAGGTTCCCAAACTTATTTGGCCTACCACTCCCTTTTCAGAAAAAATTGATTCAGCTAACTTCCCCCTGACAATGGAAACTTTTGTACTGCGGCCCATAAACCGGGGGAAGTGCACGCATCTGCTTTTGCAGCCTCCCTGGATCGTTCCAGTGCTCCCAATTAAAGCTCGCCCATACTGCCAGCGGAATGTGAGTTGGGACTAGGACTTTGGAAAGTGGTTGGCAGTTTCTATAGACATACCGACTCTTAACTACATGCCCAAGAAACAGGCATGCAGGTGTTTTCCAGGATGTCCCCAAGGAGCCCTGATGGCACAAACAATGCAGCACTTGGCTGCCACCTGACAGGTTGGCAGTTCAAGCTCACTGAGGGACAAAGCCCTGGCAAAATGTTTCCCTAATAATTACAGCCAAGAAAACCCAATGGGGCAGTCCTATGCTGTCACAGGAGTCACTGTAAGTCACTGTACGTCCAAATTGCCTCCACAGCACTGCAACAAAGACATAATGCTCACAGAAGCACTATTAACTATTAGTAATACTCAAAAATTGGAAACCATCAAATGTCCATTAGTAGAAGTACGTATGCATGGACATACAACGGAATGATAAAACAACAAAGCGAAGGAACAACATGGATAAATCTCACAGATAGAATGAATGACAGAAGTCAGACATGAAAGAGGCCATCAAGTGTGATTCCACTGACGCAACAAACTGCTAAGAATGTAATCTATGATTTTGGAAGTCAGAATAGTGGCTACCCCAGGTTGAGGAACAGGGGCTGCTGTGATTAGATGAGGCCACCAGGGAGCTTCTGGTACTGCCACTGTTGTTCCTTGAGCTGGTGCTGATGGCATGAATCCATGAGATGTGTACTTAATTTTATATGTGTGTGTGTGTGTGTGTGTGTGTGTGTGTGTGTATACACACATATATTATATGATGAAAACACATATAATAGAAAAGGAAGCTACTACCTACTGGATGAGATAAATGAAGTAACATCTGGGTCGTGTTTTGAATGGTCTCTGGATGTGCCCAAAAATGGGAGTGTCTTCCCTCCTGTCTATTGTCTCAGAACCCTGTGAGGGCAGGAAAAGTGACGTCCTCACCTCTGTCCCTTGTAGTAGCTGATACACAGCAGGCACTCCACAAATAAGTCAATGGATTTGAACTCTGTTTCTGAGCCTCCCTCTGGCTTCTCGAGGTCACTGTTCACATACCTCATTACGCTAAAAACAACTGATAATAACTTAAGAGTCTTTTCTGAACACTGCATGCCCCACCCCACCCC